TTCCTTAAACCCCAGATTTGCTCAGCTGAGGAATTTCACTAAAATTATTCCTGACCTGAAGGTGCATAAATGCTGTGATTATGGGGACGCCACGCGGGTCTGGACGCCACCAGTCTGTACTCCTTCTCCGTAGGCTGCTTGATGTTAGAGTGGTGCCCTTCCTGTCTGGGAACGTCCAGCAAGTACCTAAAGCTGAGAAAACTAGGCGCCAGAGAACACCTTGTTCCCAAGTCAGGTGTCCAATCACCTTTTATGGTGTTGGAAATTCATGAAGCTCATGGGGCTTGAAATAATATTTTTTTCAGTTCAGTCAGGTTTATTACGTACTATCAGTTTTCTATCAGTTTTCGAAACTGTTCAGTTTATAATTCTTCATTTACCAATAGAATCTTACCAGTATACCAATGCTGTTTAGTGTAGTTAGCCTTATGGAACATTATATTTAAAAACATGCTTCTAGTAGAAATTGCAAGCCATAGAAGCTGAAAGAAAGACTCTTAATTTATTTTTTCCTTTTGTTATTTCATTTCAATACAAAAATGTTTACATCCTTATCATCAAAGAGGATTTTCTGATTAGAGGAGCTCTGTGAATACTCTGTCTTACGTATTCTCTCCTCCAAAATGAGTGTCTGTTGCAGGGAAGGCTGGGCACACTGAGTATTCTGGCTGGAGAGTATCCACCCCTTGGATGGGGGTGGCAGGGTGAGCAGGGTGAATGGGGGGCAGGGTGAGCACACACAAGGCCAATAAAAACTTTAGTAAGCTGGACAGCCATTTCAACTTGAGTTCGTTTTTGCTTTTGCTAATTGTAAATTAATCATTAATTACTATGTGGCCAGTACTTTAAAGATATTAACTCCTGAATTCTTACGACAAGAATCTGAGATTGGTCCTATTATTATTACCATTTTATAGATGAGAAAAATAAGATAGAAAGAGGTTAGGTAAATGACTCAAGGTCACAAAGTCACAGAATGTAGAAATGCAATTTGGAAACGTGCATCTCGGTTTCAAACTTAAGCTATTGTGTTTTTGTTAATTATACTGCGTGGGGTCCTCTAAATTTCTGCATTTGTGGTTTCTTATCTTTCATTAATTTTGGAAAAATTATAGATGTCTTTTCTTTCCCTCTTCTACTTTTGCTATTCCAGTCAAATGTATGTAGCATGTAGCAAGCATGTATGTTAAATGTTTCAGTGTCATTATGGGATATTCTTTGGGGAAACTCTAGAAGACAACCCTCACCTTTCCACACACACACCCTTTCAAATTTTAGTCTCTCAGCGTTGATTACGTGAACTCTCTGGTTCCAAAGATAAGATAAAAGGAAACATTAAGCCAGAAATAATATTTTCCCCTTTAAAAATGGGAACTAAAGAGGCTTTAGAGTGAACACTGTCTGTCTAAGAGTGAGACATGAAACCCCAGTCAAAAACCTTACATTTTCCTCTAAACAAACTGTGTACAACTTAAACGGACCAGGCTTTGGAAATGTTGCAAACGCATAAAGGGAGTGTGGCCTCAGCAGCGCACTGACTCATCTGCACACAGAACGTGTGCGGCAGGCCAGGAAGGGGCCGAGCCAGCTGACTCTCAGTCACATTTTTATTTTATAGCCTCATGGAACAAATTAAAAAAAAAAAAAAAAGGGAGAGGGAGAGAGCGCAGGCAGGCTGCTTTGTTCCCGTTAGTGAGGGAGGACGCTCTCTCTTTATGCTTGGGTCGGTGCCCAGCCCATAGACAGTTGCTGTGTCTCAGTAAGTCCAGGGTCACTATACTTAACCCAGTTTAGGTTCAACTCTAAAAACTTCCAAGTTTAATTTCAGGTATTTTTTTAAAAAGCTGTCTCTAATACTGTTGAAATACCTTTAGAGCCATGACAGACTTTCAGCTGTAAATACTGTATGATTCTGCTCTGTGAGATGAGCTCATGGCAACCCAGGTGGAGATGATACTTCTCTAGCTCTCCTGCGTCACAGCGTTGCCATGTGCTCGTGGTGGATGAGCAGCAGTGTCTGTGGGCTACTTGTGGGTCTGGCCCAGAGAGCTCTGAGCCTGCTCTCCAGCAGTCACTCTTATCCATCTTTCTATCTGGACAGCAGATGTGGCAGCAGTCGACCTCTGAACTTGCAGGTGTGTGGGAGTCCATAACTGGGTTAACAAACTGTAACAGACCCCAGCCGCTTGTCTCCTTTAAAAAGAACAAATGTGCTTAGTAACTGCTTTACAAGCAGGCACCTGTGTGTCCGTCCGCACTCCTGTCTCGTTGCCGTGAAAAGCAGGGACAATGCCTTGCTTGCATAGTTGAGGTTTTAGACAGCACTCCGCTCATTGCAAAGCAACGACCCAGGCCCTCAGCTATAAACGCTGGCGTGCCTGCTGTTAGATAGTCTGTTATCCCCCAGACAAGGGACTGGCTGGTCTGGTGGTCTGCACATCTATACGAATGTATCTTGCTCTCCTCTCCCCATGACTTCCCTAAAGATAAAGCCTTTGTACTCATTGTGACTTCTACAATCTCGATCCCATCCTGTCTTTCCCTAAATTCCTGCATACCATCACACAACTGTTAATGAGTTTTCCTTTGATTATACACAATAAATGTGGGAGCATTTGAGAGGCTCGTGGAGTTGGTCCCGAAGTCCCTCTCGCTCTCTTGACTTTTTCCACAGGGTCTTGAGTAATTCATTCCGTCTTGGTGGGACTTCTGCTGGCCAGAACCCACACAGGTGTATACATGTCTTAGTGGGTACCGAACAACAGGATGGAAGGAGCCTGAGTCTCTGAATGACTCTGTGGAACCTAGAGTGGTGGAACTGTAATATGTCTTCTTAGCTGTGGCACCAGCCTCCTGAACCATCTCTGTCTCCAGTGTCCTCACTTTGTTCTCTATCTTCCCGCCGTCAGAGAGAAGGAGCTCCAACAGGACTCTGTGCATGCGGAGTAGGCTTCCAAGTCTCCATCTGCCTGTGGAACATGGTCCATGAGCCAGGACTTCCAACTTTATTCTCAATGAGCCTGTTATACTGGCTACCTGGACCTGGCTGATTCCCAGCAGTTAGCTCCAACTTTTGTACATTTGCTCATTCCTTTCCTTTGCTTTAAAGGTTATTTCTCCCAATTACCTTTTTTTCAGATCTGAATCACTCTTGAAGTTCCAACAGAAATGATACCTCCTCAGTGACACTGTCTATAGCCTTCCAAATATAAGTAATCGTTGCTTTTGTAGAAAATAAGCACTTTATCTGTAACACCCTTTTTAACACTCAATCACTTCTTGCTTCATTTTATAATATTTGCCTTCTAGGTGTAGATCGGACCTAGGTGAGAACTTTCTTCCGCTCATCTTTAAATACACAGTAGCGATGGGCCTCACGAGTGTGTTACACGTACCAGTAAAGGGCACCACCAAGTGTTGCAGGAAAAAGCAGCAAGTATTAAAAAGTACCAAGTCAAGACAATTTATAAAAGCTGCTCGACTATGAGGCAAGAAACTTAACAGACAATATAACTAGAAAACTGACAGAATGTATTTGTCAGCTTTTAAACATCTGTCAGCTTTAAAGATTTGTTGATATGATTTCTTTGCTCATTTTGAATCAATATTCACTTTTGAATTTGTACCTTCATGTTATTTCATTTGAAACAAACACTCAAAATATATAAACTCCAGCCCTCCATAATCCCTCGTAGATCCACCTCCTCCCCCCAGGTAAGTGGGAAAATATGCTGCAAAACAGTGGTGATTATTTCTGGACCGTAAAATTAGGAGTCTCATACACACACTTATTGTTAAAGAAAAAGTACTCACGTTAATAACAAGAATACTTTGAAAGGAGGCTGAGAGAAAGGAGAAAAAGATGCAAAGTAAAAAATTAAAACCCCTAAATCCTGTTTCCTCCCCCAAAAGTACCCTCCGAGACAGGCTGTGGCAGGATCTCGGCTACAGCTGCTTTGCTCGTATTCCCGCCTCCAGCTCCGGCTCCACCTCCGCTGCGGGGTCAAGGGCACCCAGCCAGCCGCGGAGGAGGGAGGAGCCTGGGCTTCGCCCACACCCCTGAGTGCTCTGGCCTCTGTTAAAAAGAAAACCCAAAACCTGTTCCAGGTAAACGCAGGAGAAGCGCATGTCCTTTCGACTTCGTTTCTCGTAAACCCGGCTCATTACTGGGCGGCTTTCACATCAGGCTCCCTTCCCATCTTTTAAAGAGCAGCAGGTTTCTAGAGGAGCCAGGGCAGCTGAGAACTCGCCTCGCGGTGCACCGGCCGCGCCAAGTTAAGTCTGCGCCTAACTTACTTCCAAGAACCTTTCCGTCAAGTAACCACAGTAAGTTCCCAGGCCCAGACGCCGGCTGCCGGAGGGAAGGCTGCGGGGGGCGCGGCACCTTGCAGGGGCGGCTCAGCGTCCCCTTTGGATCCGTGGCGGCTGCAATGGGATGCGCCGCTCCTCCCGGAGCATCCACGGGCGCCGGCGGCAAAGAGCCCTGCAGCGCAGGGGGAGGGCTGCACCCGGCTCACCCGCGGAGAGGGTTAGGGGCCAATCCCCGCCTCCTGGCAGCGGCTGTGGGTGGGGTCGCTCCCTCCTGCCCCTCCTCCGACGGGTCCCGACTGTGCCCTACCGGGCGCTGGAAAAACAGGAACGATAGTCCTTGACGTGCACTTTAAATTTTTATAGAATTCCCGTATTAACCATATGTAGTATTCTAAAGATTGTACAAAGCTGTATTTATATAAAATAATTCATCTCACTTTCTCTAATCAACTCTTAAAAATTAAGTATAAGATCTAAGCCTGTTTTTTATCCTTTGTTGTTACCAAATGTGTGGTCCCTACTCCAGAAAGAAAAATTACTTTAATTTTCAGTTTCAGTTTTTTGCTGTTTCCATTGTGAGAAAGAAGAAAAACATCCCTCAGTTCATTTTCAACGTCTATAACATCTCAACAGAAAAGCGGGAGGAGGAAGGAGCAAGGTGAGTGGGAAGCAACTGGGAGCTTCTCCCTAAACTCGCTGACCTGAAGAGCTGTGCAGCAGAAATGCTAATTTGTCGGCTCTCTTTTAAATACAACTTAATCTTGACCTCAAAACTCTCAGTTTCTGATTGAAAATGGTATCTGCGGAGTCGCGAGGTCAGGGAGAATGTAGCCTGATAGTCTGGACTGCAGGGTTCAGATCCTGGCTTTCGTTCTGAGAAAGCTCAGCTTTTCCATTTGGACCACTGGCAGCTGCACGGTGACCACTTCACACCATGTCACGTAACCAGGGCAGCAGCAGGCGTTGTGGAAAGAGTCCTGCCCGAGAGATGAGAGATGAGGGTCTTCTCCTGGATCTTTTGTTGGGTAGGAGTGGGGAAGCAATTTCTCCACCCATGACCTCAAGTTTCCTCACTGTATATACATTGGGAGAGACTCATCACTGGTTCTCAACCCAGGCTCCGCACTAGATTCACCTTCTACATACTTCTTTTCTTTTCCTTTCTTTTTTGAGTCAAGACCATACTTGCTCAGAAAGATCTGGCTGCCTTTATTTTTTGAATGGGGGGGTGGTGGTGAGATCCCAAAACAAGTGGGCAACCTAAATATTGCATCCTTCCTGTCACCCCCGTTTGCACCCTTAAAAATCGGGAAACAAGCATATCGTCTTCCTGGTCTTGGCTCTAAGTCACCGCTCAGCCAAGCCTGCCTGTGACACCCCGCAGGGCAGCTTCTTTCTGGTACTTCTTGAAAACTGGGAAGGACCAACTCAGCTCTTCCTGGGAAGGAAGTGCTTCTGTGTCCTACCTTAATGAAGCTGAGTGGCAGACATGCCAGGGGTTATGCAGACCCACCTGAGGGCGGAATTGGTGCTGAGTCTTTTCACAGGAATATTTTTGAACAATTACATGGATGGTGCCGAGGTTGGTCTTCTTGTTGTTCTTCTCTGACTTTTAAATTAAGATATACTTTTATTGGCTTATAACATACATCCTTTTCTTGATGTTGCTGCACATTTCTGTTTGGAAAAACAAAATCTATTTCCCAGTGGCTCAGTTTCCCCACACAGAGGATAATTCTTAAAATTCGTGGCCAAAAGGATTTTTATGACTTCTAAAAAAGGAGAAAAACCAAAAGCTGTTTCCTTTCTTGAAGCCAAACTCTTCCAATCCTTTGAATATTATAAATCGTTCCATGGATACTATGCTTCATTGATCTGTCATATGGGAAGCTAGAATTATCAGCTTAAAAACTCAGATTTTTATAAATACCTGCGATCCTCATCACTAGTTCTACAGCTCTTCTCAACAACTAGGATCAAGGGACAGAAGAGATGCATGAAGTCCATGGCTTAACATTTCCTGGCTTGTTTTCCCAGGTCATCCTGCTCCCAGACCTTCCCTCAGCATTGGCTCCACTGCTCAGTTTTCTCTTACCATATGCTAAACTTTAGGTCTGGGGAGAGGATGATCAGATGAGGTGGTCACTTTGCTTCTCAGTGATGACAACCCCCACCGTATCCTCCTCGGCTTTGGGTAGAGCCGCTGTACTGTATGACAGAATGTGCCAGCAGTAACATCCAGTCTGAGATCCTCACAGCACTGGGAGCCCTTTGGCCATCCCAGAGATTCATTGTCAGGGCAGAACCAAGAATAGATGAGTTTTCGATTGTAGGCCTTAGTCTATGCAAACGTGCCAGGAACACAGCAAGGAAGAATGAACTCAGAGATGACTGAAGTGCAGCCTACATATGAATATTTAAACATTTATGCATAGAAAGGCGCTATCAGCAGAGTGAAAATGCAACTGAGATAGTGGGAGGAGATATTTGCAAGTCATATCTGGTGAGGGATTAGCATCCATAATACACAGAGAACTCCTAGAACTTAATGACATGAATACAAACAACCTATTTAAAAATGGACAAAAGACTTGAATAGACATTTCCCCAAGGAAGATATACAGATAACTAATAAGCCTCTGAGGAGTTGCTTAACAACACTAACCATTAAGGAAATATGAGTAGAAACCAAAATGGGGAGCTACCGCACACCTGTTAGGGTGAGTACTATCAAAAAAACAGAAAATAATAAATGTCAGAGATAATGTGGAGAAATTGGAACACTGTGTGCTGTTGATGGGAATGTAAAAAGATACGCCACTGCGGAGACACTGAAGATAAGAGAGGAAGTGGAAGAATGTGCATGAAAAAAGGTGAGCTCCTCTGAGATGCAGGGGAGACCTCAGCAGGTACAGGGGAGGGCTCAGCTCACAGTGGGGCGGGGAGGTTCCTGCAGTGCCCTCGGAGACCCTGACAGGAGGTGCTTCCTAAGTCAGGGAGCTTCCTCTCCTCCTGTGAACACACTCCGCTTCATCTGAAAATAAAGTCGAGTTGTGGCTGCAGGTCCAGCCAGCCAGTCAGGGTCTTCCCTAGCACATGCTCACACCTGCCCTTGCTGTGTGGTCACAGGTGAATTCAGACACATCCATTGTTTTTTCCAGACAGTTTGGTTACTCAGAAAGCAGATGGTTGGGGAATGGAGGGGCTGTAGCTCTCCGGGCTAACTGTTGTTTTCTTCTCTCTCTAAAATCTTCCTGAAGCAGAGGAGTGGGCCAGAAGAGAGGCACTGGAGAAAGAACAGGAGCTTCTACGGCATTAGTTTAATGAGCTGTGACAAAAGTTGGAGGACCAAGAGTCTCTGAGTGCTTGATTAACAGCTAAAATGACAGAGGAGATAAGAGAAAGAGAAAAGACCTCAGCAGGTACAGGGGAGGGCTCAGCTCACATGGGGTGTGGAGTCTCCTGCAGTGATGTCGGAGAAATATGATGGGAGCAGCTTCCAGAAGCAGGGAACTTCCTCATCTTCTGTGAACACACTCTGCTTCATCTGAAAAGAACACAGGTCCAGCCAGCCAGCCAGAGCCCTTCCTAGCAGAGTCTCACACTTGCCCGTCCTGTGTGGTCACGGGTGAATTCAGACACGTCCATTTGCTTTCTCCAGACAGTTGGTCACTGAGAAAGTGGGTGTTGGGGGTGGGGGCGCTGTAGCTCTTAGGGCTGACTGTTGTTGCCTTCCCTCTGTGAAATCTTGGAGCAGAAGAGCTGGACAGAAGAGCGGTGCCTGTTTTTTCCGGGATGGAAAATGAGCCTCCTGAGCAAACAGTTAAAGAATTGCAGCAAATATTGGAAAACCAAAAAATAGCCTTCATGAAATTTGTATTCAAAATAATAGGAGATACAAGAGAGAGAGAGAAACTTCTGAGGGAGATGAATGAGAAGATTGAGTGGCTCAAGGTAGGTCAGGTCTGGGTGTGGGCAGTGACTGCGAACAAAGCCCTGGGACCTCAGGAGGGGGAGGGGGAGAATCAAGGCAAAGTGAGAGAGAAACACCCCTGCGCTGTACTGGCTCTGACTCCCCAGAAGCCCTGAGTCTTAGTGGCTTATATCCAGAAACTTGTGTTCTGTTCACGGTGAGTTTCTGAAGAGCCTAGGAGGAACTTGGCACCTCCAAGCATTTATAGGGTATAAAGAGCTCTCCCAGTGCTCATGCTGCTGTCTTGGGGGTTCCTGGATGATCTCATGGAGCCAGTGTTAAATGGGGTTTTCAGGATTATCAAGTAGATGTTCTAACGGAGTGTGTCTAACATAAGCAGGAGAAGTTACTGGAGCAGCACATGGCGATTTACCGCACAGTCCATTCTTCAGGTTTTCTCCTCTCACTAGAGGCCACCTTCCTGGCCATAGATTAACTACCATTCATAGCGGATGGATCCTGATTCTTCTGAGTAAGATAGATCTAAAGGATGCTATTACTCTATTTTATCTCCTTCTAGTCCAAATATGTGCTGTTACCTGGAAACTTTTGGTGGGTGTCGAGCTAAAAGACACAACTAAGCCAAAGATCGGAAAAGGAAGGATTCATTACTTGCAGCTAATAAGGGGGACACTGGGGAGCTTTTCCAAAGCCGTCTCACTGACCAGCAGAACTAGGGCAGTCTTGAGCTATGGGTACATGCATATTCATGCAGGGTCTTGAGCAGCAGTCAGAGTCCAAGCTTTATTTGAATGAAGTCGTGAGAGCCAGAAAATGTCAATAGCATCATCTGTCAGATTTCAGCTGATCTGGGTGCTGAGTGCCCAAGTTGGGATTTAGATTCTGCAGAATATCTCCAAGCTAGTCTTTACATTAAAGTGGAGCTGGGAGTCTTTACAACTATTTGCTGTCTTTGCTGTTGTTACATCACTTGCCTGATAAGTTTGTCCTCTTCTCCTCTTAAGAGCATTGTTACTGAGACTTGTTCGAGGGCAGGTATTGTGGCCAGGCTCAGATCACAAAATGGCGCAGGCCAAAAAATGGCTTCTCTTATGTCAAGAAAGCCATTCTTGGTTCTTTTTCTCCAGGAAGCCCCTACCGTATCTGCTTACAACACTTTTTCTGGAGATCTGTCTGACCTCTTAGCAAGGTCAGTATAGGCACTCAGACGTCCTCCTTGACTGAACGCTTGTAGTTTTCTCATGTGCTTGGAACACACTTAAATTATTCTGAGGTTGTTGCTTTTCCTGTTTACTCCCTCCCCTTCATAGTAACCTACAATCCTCTGGGAAGATTCTCTTACCAGATCTTTCTTTATCTTTATTTTGCTTTTAGTTGTTTACTGTTAATCATAAGCTGTAAATGGACTCTCAGGATGCTGCAGCTGCTGGGCACCACAGGGATTATATAATGCAAACTCAAACTCAACATTTCACAAGAAAGGCCCAGGGAGTTAAAAAATGTACTAGTAGCCTTAAAGAGAGTATTTTAGTATTTTTTCCTAAGATGGGTAATTCAAGGACTTTTTAGAGTCTTACTAAGCTATAATTTACACACCATAAATTCCATGCATTTAAAATGTACAATTGATACAAATGTACCGATATAAATGTACAATGATGTCACCATGGAAAGTTTAGAAAATCTTTCTGGAAAAGGAGTGTTTTGTAAATTTGAAAGTATTTGTACATATAATCCATGGGATGTTACCAGGAGAGCCCCAAACAGAAAAAACAGCATGTGAAAAATATGAAAGCCCCCAAGCTTACCTGTTTGTAAAAGTGCTCATTCTTCTGCCTGGTAGAAGCTAGCACTGGCAGAGGAGGCTGGAGAGGTAGTGAGGTAAGCAGGGTCTTGGAAACCTCACATGTAGCGGGTGGTAAGCAACCAGGGCATGTTATTCAGAACAGTTCTTTTCTCAGAATATTTCAGTGGAATTTTAGGTTTGACCTGCCTGTCATGTCTTTGCCCTTTTGTGGTCTCCAGGCCTCAGTGATGATAACAGATGAACACCAAGAACGCTGCATGAAGGAAGGTGACCTCCTTTGTGATACAGGGAAGACCTCAGCAGGTACAGGGGACGGCTCAGCTCACTGTGGGCTGGGCAGTTTTCTGAAATGCTCTCTGAAACTCTGACAGGAGGAACTTCCTGAAGCAGGAAGCTTCCACTCCTTCTGTGAACACACTCTGCTTCATCTGAAAATAACAAGGCGAGTTGTGGTTGCAGGTCCAACTAGTCAGTCAGGGCCTTTGCTAGCACATTCTCACACCTGCTCTCCATGTGTGGTCACCAGGGGAATTTAGACACATACATCTGCTCTTTCCAGACCACATGGTCACTAAGAAAGTGGAAGGTTGGTGGGCAGAGGGTTGTAGCTCTCAGAACTGACTTTCATTTCCTTCCCTCTCTGAAATCTTCCTGGAGCAGCAGAGTGGGCCAGAAGAGAGGCAGCTGACAGGGAAAAGGAGCCTCTTGAACAAAAGGTTAAGTTGCTGCAGCAAAAGCTGGATAAGGAAGAAGTAGCCTTTGAGGAATTCAGAGTCAGAATGACAGAGGAGATACGAGAGTGTGATGATCTTCTGAGAAAGGTGGACCAGAGTATTAAGGAGCTGGAGGTAGGTCTGGTCTGGGTCTACGCAGTTACCATGGAACAAAGCCCTGGAACCTGAGGAAGGGGTGGATGAGGATTCAACAAAATCGCAGAGGAAAGCATCGTCGTGCTTTCGTACTTTTAACTAGAAGCCCAGAGTCTTTAATGGCTTATATCCAGAAACTTGAGTTCTGTTCACTGTGGATTTCTGAAGAGTCCAGGAGGTCTCTGGATCTCCAAGCATTTATAGAATATAAAGAACTTTCCCAGGACTTGTGTTTTGAGGGATTCTTGATGACCTCATGGAGCCAATATTAAACTGAGTTCCTGGGTTTATCAAGTAGACATTCTAACTGTGTGTTTTAATACAAGCAGGAGAAGTTACTGGAGCAGCACATGGTGATTTACCTCAGCAGTTGGTTCTTCCTGTTACCTCTTCTAACTAGAGGCCATGTTCTTGGCCATAGATTAATTACCATTCATAGTTGAAGACCATGATTCCTCTGAATAGGAGTGTTCTAAAGGACTGTATCACTCCAATTTCTCTCCTCTTCCAATGTTAGGCACAATTTCAGGAAATCTGTCTGACTTGTGAGCAAAGTCAGTACAAAGGTCTGAGACGTCCTCCTCGCCTGAACACTCGCAGAGTTTCCTTATGTGCTTGGAACACACTTCAGTGATCTTGAGCTTGTTCCTATTTCTGTGCACTCCTTCCCATCCGTAGTAACACAAGATTTTCTAGGATGATTCTCTCACCAGACCTTTCTTTGCTTTTACTTTGCTTTTAGTTGCTTACTGTTAATCACAAGCTGTAAATGGACGCTCAGGCTGCCGCAGCTGCCAGGCACCACAGGGATTATATCAGGCAAACCCTGCACTCCACAAGGACGGCTCACGGGGTTAAGAGGCTTACTAGTGTCCTTAAAGAGAGTGTTTCAGTATTTTTCCTGAGTTTGGAGCAATTCAGTTTTCTGTAAACAATGTTACTGAGATATAATGCACAGACCATAAATTCCATGCATTTAAAATGCACAGTTGGGGCAATTAATCTACAACAAAGTAGACAAGAATATACAATAGAGAAAAGACAGTTTCTTCAATAAGTGGTGCTGGGAAAAACTGGACAGCTACCTGTAAAAGACTGAAATTAGAACATTCTCTAACACCATGTACAGAAATAAACTCAAAATGGATTAAAGACCTAAATGTAAGACCAGAAATTATAAAACTCGTAGAGGAAAACTTAGAACACTTGTGGACATGCATTGCAGCAATATAGTTTTTGAACCAGCTCCTGGAGTAATGGAAATAAAAGCAAAAATAAACAAATGGGATCTAATTAAACTTAAAAGCTTTTGCACAGCTAAGGATGCCATCAACAAAAGAAAAAGACAACCTACAGAATGGGAGAAAATATTTGCCAATTATGTGACTGAGAAGGGACAAATTTCCAAAATATACAAACAGCTTGTCCATCTTAATATCAAAAAAACAAGCAACCCAATCCAAAAATGGGCAGAAGACCTAAATAAGCAATTCTCCAATGAAGACACACAACTGGCCAGTAGGCACATGAAAAAATGGTCAGCATCGCTAATTGTCAGAGAAATGCAGATCAAAACGACAATAAGATATCACCTCATGCCAGCCAGAATGACTATCATTGAAAAGTCTACAAATAACAGATGCTGGAGAGGGTGTGGAGAAAAGGGAACCCTCCTACACTGTTGGTGGGAGTGTAGATTGGTGCAACCACTATGGAAGACAGTATGGAGGTTCTTTAAAAAACTGAACTGGACTTACCATGTGATCCAGCAATCCCACTCCTGGGCATATATCCAGAGAAAAATAAAATTCAGAAAGACATATATATCCCAGTGTTCATAGCAGCACTATTTACAGTAGCCAAGACATGGAAACAACCCAAATGTCCATCAACAGATGACTGGACAAAGAAGATGTGGTACATATATACAACGGAACACTGCTCAGCCATAAAAAGTATAAAATAATGCCATTTGCAGCAATATGGATGGACCTGAAGACTGTCATTCAAAGTGAAGTGTGTTGGAAAGAGAAAAAAAAATGCCAGATGACATCATTTATATGAAGAATCTAAAAAATAGCAACAACAATAATACGGACACAAATGAACTACTTGCTATTTATGACTTAGATGACTGATCTCTTGAATGCGTGTGAGCACATCTGACTGTCCTTTATGATCGTATTACCTCATTGTGTTGATTCTCATTTTGTGGTTGGCTTTATTCCTTTGGTAACTATGTAAGTTAAAAAAGCTAAAGCTCTAATCTGTTCTTAGAAACAATCAGCACATAGATGTAAACTAAAAAAGTACAGTATACTGTATACATGTATTTACATGCAAAATAACGTGTATGTGTAGTCAAACTGTAATAATTCTACCTAATAAAACTAAAAAAGGGAAAAAAATGAAATGCGCAGTTGGTACAGATGTACCAATGTAAACGTTCAGCAATTTCATATGAGGAAGATGGGGTAGAAGATCTCCCTGGAAGAGGAGTGTGATGTAAAATTTGAAAAATGTGTGCATATTACCCTGAGTGGGATGTTAACCAGAAGAGCTTCAAGCAGAAAAAACATGTGAAAAATATGAAAGCCGCCATGTTTACATATTAGTAAAGCTGCACATTCTTCTGCCTAGTGGAAGCTTGAATGGGTGGTGGGAAGCAGCACTGGCAAAGCAGGCTGGAGGGCAGCAAGGCAGCAGGGGTCTTGGAAACTTTACATGTAGGGGGTGGGAAGCAACCAGGGAATGTTATTCAGAACAGTTTTCTCAGAATATTTCAATGGAGATTCAGGTTTAACCTGCCTGACATGTCTTTGCCATTTTGTGGTCTCCAGGCCTCCGTTATGATAACAGATGAACAAGAAGAATGCTGCATGAAGAAAAGTGAGCTCCTTTGTGATGCAGGGAAGACCTCAGCAGGTACAGGGGAGGGCTCAGCTCACAGTGGGGCGGGGAGGTTCCTGCAGTGCCCTCGGAGACCCTGACAGGAGGTGCTTCCTAAGTCAGGGAGCTTCCTCTCCTCCTGTGAACACACTCCGCTTCATCTGAAAATAAAGTCGAGTTGTGGCTGCAGGTCCAGCCAGCCAGTCAGGGTCTTCCCTAGCACATGCCCACACCTGCCCTTGCTGTGTGGTCACAGGTGAATTCAGACACGTCTATCTGCTTTTTCCAAACTTTTGGTCAATGAGAAAGTGGAGGGTAGTGAACGGGCTGTGGTAGCTCTCAGGCCTGACTTTGTTTTCTTCCCTTTCTAAAATCTTCCGGGAGCAGAAGAGTGGACCAGAAGAGTGGCAGCTGAGAAGGTTATGGAGTGTCTTGAACAGAAGTACACAGAGCTCTGGCAAAAGTTGGAGGACCAAGAAAGAGTCCGAGAAGGACTTATAGCCATTATGAAACAGGAGATAATAGAAAGAGAAAAGT